CAAGACAAGAAAAATTATATACGTCTAATAATAGAACGATAAAGGGTGGCATTCCACAGGGAAGTGTTTTCGGTCCTTTACTCTTTATAATATATATCAATGATATCGTCAAGTCTTGTAAATACCCAATGATACTATTTGCAGACGATAGCACTATTTTTGTACAGTGTGACAATGTAGCAGAATATCAAAATAATATTAACTTTGCTATTGAAAACATTATTAAGTGGTTAAAATCAAATAATCTCAAAGTTAATCTAGAAAAAACAAAAATTATGCAATTTACACAAAGAAAAAGTACTCCAAATCTAATAATAAGTTATGGAAATAAAACAATTTCTGAAACAAACGTAGCGAAATTCCTAGGGCTGTTTATAGATAGCAACATGTCATGGGAATCACATTCAATAGAAGTCTGCAAAAGAATGTATAAATTTTCATTTGCACTATATAAACTGTCGAAAATAGCTGACCGAAAGACTGTTCTAACAGCGTACCATGGCTTTGTGGCTTCGACCCTGCGATATGGTATCATATTTTGGGGACTATCAACATACAGGGAATTAATTATGAAAGCTCAAAAACAGTGTATTCGAGCTATATGTGGGATAAAGTCTACAGAAAGTTGCATCCCATACTTTAGATCTCTTAAGATATTAACATTACCCTGTATTTATATACTAGAATCGTGTATGTTTGTAAAGTGTAATCCGGAACTTTTTGATATAGGAGTACAACCATCTTTAGTTAACCTTCGTCCTCGAAAACAAAAAATCCAGACGAACGTATGCAAAACTGCCCTTATGAAAAAAAGTGTTGTTGAAATGGCCCCTAAATTATATAATAAGTTACCTGATCACATAAAATGTTATAATCATATTTATTTATCTATGGTTATAATGTGCAAAAATTTAAATCTATTTTAAGTAAATTTCTTATAGATAAATGTTATTATAATGTCAATGAATTTCTATTTACTAATAATTTAAATATGTAATTTAATAATTTTATTTTGACTCTACTTAATTTTATTACTTTGATCTGTTTTTTTTATATATATATTTAATTTTATGATGTATGGATATATAAATTCGTATGCTGTTAAAGCATTTCACGGAGGTACTATAAAATTATAACATTGTCAACCTTGTTACCTGTGAAAACGAATAAAATGATTGATTGATTGAATCCGCAACAACGTTGGGATCGTCCGGCGAGAAGCAAACCCGCCCCCGAGGGTAGGATGCAAAGAAAGACCGCATCCTATTCCAATCGGTTGACCTATAGTACCAAACACGGCGGCGGCCTGCAGAATGCAACTGCGATTTCAGCGTGAGTAGCACCACACTCCGAACAAGACAATGGTCCGAGGAGCCTAAAGAGGCGTCAACGGAAATCTGATATCCGTCCGGGTAAGAGGTCAGCAGAAGGTCCAACAGGGAAGGTGCATGATCCTCCACATCTGGAATCCGCGTAGGCGAAGTAACCAGTTGTGTCAGACCATATGGCAAAGCAAAGTTATGAACAGATCTCCCCGCATGATCGGTTAAACGTGAACTAAGCCAGTCGGCGTAATGGGCATTAAAGTCGCCGAGGATCACGATCTCCGCGGAGGGGATCTGCTGTAGCAACGAATCTGTAGCCATTTGGACGTGGTCGAAGAGTCGGTCTGTTTCGGCATTACAGCTATGGGACCTATAGCGGCACCCGTAGATGCGCGGATGGTCGTCGCTGTCTACGCGTAGCCAAAGGATGGATAGGTCCAAACCTTCAAGACTGCCGAGGCGTCGAGAACAGATGTCCTCTCTGACGTAAACGCAACCTCCAGCCCGAGGCGCAAAGGAGTGTTCCAGTTTGTACCCCGGGTAGGAGAGATATGAGACATCAGCCGGAGAGGACACCTGCGTATTGGTCAAAAAGAGCAGAGCCAGCCTCGCCGTCTCGAGATGGTAGTGGACGGCGTTTAGGTTAGAGTGAAGTTCCCTAATATTGCAGAAATTCACGGATAACGTGGCGGGGGTCGCCTTGGTCTTGTTGCTCTGTTTGCCCCAAGCAGTTGTAGTCTTGAGCGGAATTTTGCCCCCCCCCCCCTCCCAGAATATGCGGGGTAGCCTGAGCACCCACGCTCAGGAGTGGTGTAACTTGGTCGTCGATGCTCAGCGAGGGATTCTCCTGGGGTGCTGGTACCCTCCTGGGGTAGTTTGACATTTAATTCCGCTACCATGTTGATGGGGGGGGGGACGGATTTGGGCCTCCGGCCACCTGCACTCACCAGACGAAACGCGGAAGCAGAACATCCACTTCACGCCGGTATTCTGTGAGGTCGTGGTCCCACCCCTGTTTGGGCCGGCCCATACGTGCAAAAGCAGATCTGCCGCGTGGCTCTACCACTGTTGGAGTTGTAGTCACCCTCTACTTCCCCTTCTTGCCGGACATGCTTAGTTTTTTTTATAAATTTTTAAAATTCTCATTCTGAAGTTATGTTTCGTAATTTTTATGACAATTTTAACCTGTTATGGGGAGAGGGAGTTGGGGACGGAAGTTCCACGCCACTTAACGTCTACGTTAACGTAACTACGTTAACGCTAACGTGGTGCAGTCGAGGGAAGCATAAATATAGATGCATTAGAAAGAAAGAAAGAAAGAAAAAAGAAAGAACCATTTATTTGATAATCACACTTTACACACAATTTAAGAAATTTAAATATAAATTACAATGGGCAAAGAATATGCATGCGCAGGTGTAAGACTGCTTACGCATTAAAAATTATTTAATAAGCAGAACATGCATGATGTTAATTAATAATGAAACAAAAAAATAAAAAAATAAAAGAATTTAAAGATATAATGTGACGTGACAATGACATCAAATAGGTCTCCAACTCAGCATAATGCTGCAGAGGCAGCGTTGGTTTTCAATTGGAACCTTGTGACTTCACTGACGAGTCGGTGTGTGAACCTCAAATTACGCGTAACTACAACTTATAGGCGGTAGTTTAAAGAGTAGTTAACACAGACATACTGTATTAATATCAATATAAATGGTGTGTAGTACATACACTATACCTATACTTACACATAACATATTTGGTTCTATGGGGAGGACAAAGCAAAGTAGCAATATGATTTTAGTACATATATAATTTATATTCTGTACTCAAAGGGACACGTCATGTTACAAGACCTTCTAGATTTTTTTTGAAAAAATAAAGTAATATTAAAAATAAATAAATAATAAATAATCATTCATCACATATGTAACAGAAATAAACAATAATCAATAATATTTGAACATGGTGTAAAACAGTATAAATATTATTACTATTTTGCGTTCTAAACATAATTGTATCACGTATTTAGAACTTGTTGTGCTAAGAAATAGAACTTTAGTTTGTTTTTAAAACTATTCATTGATTTTAGGGAACGAATAGGTGGTGTTAGATCATTCCAACAGTGGGTTGCTGCTAGAGCATGGATACCGGTTTTCGATAATATCGAAAAACCGGATTATCGGACCAAAATTATCGGATGATATTGAAAAACCGATATTGGATTTCACTGATATCGGTTTTTCGATATTTTATATAAAAAAAACAGAGGCAATAGAATCTTTTTTACTTATTTCATTAATTTTAATTAATGTAAAGCATACCTAACGGGTAATAATAATTATGTATGTTCCAGTGACAAAATCAAATCCAATCAAATCACTTTTATTTGTTAACAGAGGTACAGAAATACAGATCTTTTATTTGATAAAAACCGAGTGCTATGTTGTGCCAGGCTTACAAATATGTCATTTTTAAATGATTATTTCCGAATAAAAGTGTGTATATGTCACCGTAAAATTGTCAAAAACGTTATATTGTAATACAACGTGTTTGACAATTTTACGGTAACATATACAACACATTGGTCGCCGGGGTGCGGCGGGGCGCGGGTGGCTCAGGGGTCGGGTAGCTCGCTCTACCTCGCTCGACCAATCACAGCGCCCGGTGCGATCAGATAGTTGCGCTCGACGCTCGGTGTCACTCATTCAGCGCAGTTCATATTTTTATGTTAAAAAGCACGCACGTGTGCATTGCCAAAGTTGTGTTGTTTTTGTGACGTCGTTGTTTTACTTCATTCACTCGTCGGACAAACAAAGTGGGTAAGTGTACGTACAAATACGACGAGCATTACATTTATGATTTTTATTACATTTTAACGGGCTACTTTGATTAAAATTTTATTGTTTCTTTTATTATTACTTTTGATTTGAACCGTTAGATTATCTCAAAGATAAATTTATATGTAATAATATATTTTTCACTCCTCTTGCTCGAAAAGACCGTCATAATAGCGTACCAGAGCGGGCGTAAATTTGCATGTTATGCCCTTGGGAATTTAACACGGTTCCTATTTACTACCTCGCTAAAGCTCGGTAGTATAACTACCTCGTCTATAATGGGTCATTTTAGCCCCTTGTATTACAATGTACTATTATAGGCTTCAATTTTAAAATGAGTTCGCAAATGTACAAAATCTGAACTTTAGTTGGTCAAAGTTATTTAGTCAAAATTGTTTTGTTACAGGATTTCAGCTTCCTTGAACAAACAAATTTACTTGTAAAAATATGAAGTATGAAAAATTCGAAAAAAAGTGTGATCATAAAACCTCAGTTTGGCACTACTTTCTCCGAGCAGAAGATGGTCAGTCAGGCATATGCAATTTATGCCAAAAAATAATATGATCTCACGGCCGCACAACAACTGGTATTCGCGTTCATTTAAAATCGTCGCATACAATAGACGTTAGTAACGTTAATTCAAAGTCTGAAAATGAAGAAACTAATGACAGTAGCATAAACCGACCCTCTACATCTGCTTCTCCGACCATTACGACCGTCTGTGTCAAAATCAAAAGGCGAATCTTGTTCAGCGTCCTCATCGATGGTAAAAAAAAGGAAATTGACTGATTATTTTCAAAGTAATCACTCCCTTGAAGCAACCGTCAGTAGAATGGCAGCTTTGGACGGAATACCATTCAGTGTATTTTGTACTTCTGAGGATCTGCGAAGACTCTTTACAAATTCTGGCTACAATGAATTACCGAAGACTCCAAAAGGTATAAAAAATATAGTCATAAACTATAGTAAACAGGAAAAGAAAAAACTGGTGACTGAACTGAAAAATCTATTAGCCATTGGTAAAAAGCTTTCTTTGAGTTTTGATGAGTGGACATCATCTCGTAACGCCAGATATATGAATATCAACATTCACATAGGAGTTGAGTTCACAGATGGCTCACGTTTCAAAAATCTGGGTTTGGTGCGAATGGATGGTTCAATGCCATCTGAGACATGTATCAGACATTTGAAAGAAAAGCTTTCAGAATTTGAGCTTTCTTTAGATAGAAATATAGTCGCAATAGTCACTGATGGCGCCAGCGTCATGTTAAAAGTTGGAAGAAACCTGCGCGCTTATTATCAAGTCTGCCTTGCACATGGTATTCAGCTAGCTGTACTTGACGTATTATACAAGCAAGGTGGCGCGGAAAATGTGCGATCCCCTGATACTGCTGTTACTGCTCGTGGAAGTGAAAGTGACTCCTAATTCGAGAACGACGCAAATAGTGCTGAAGACGAAACCGGGGGATTTGAAGTAATACCGGTGGTGTCAAACCCAAACGAGCTTAATAATGACTATAAATGTGTCATCAGTAAAGTACGTGCAGTAGTCAAAATTTTCAAAAATTCTTCAGTGAAGAATGACATGTTTCTACAGAAACATGTAAAACAGGATACGGGAAAAGAACTCCAGCTACTAGCCGATTGTAAGACTCGTTGGGGAAGCATCTCTACTATGGTTGATAGATTCAATAGGTTAAGATCATGTGTATCCTAAGCATTGATTGACATGAACTCTGATATCAAGTTCACACAGAGCGAGTTTCATACTTTGGACAATTTCCAGAAAAGTCTGAATATTATCAAAGTGACAGTCGAAGCACTGTGCCGGCGTGATGCAATTCTATTAACTGCTGATGCGGCTATGAAATTTATGCTACGTAAATTAGATAGTCAAAATTCTACACTGTCAAGACTTCTCGCAAGATCATTGCGCGTGCGCATTTCCCAAAGACGACTTTCTATTGCATCTACTTTTCAGTATCTCCAAAATCCTGAAACATATTTCAGTGAAGTTGCTACCGCCGAGTTCCCAAAAACCCCAGAAATGGTGGAGGAAATTTATTCACTAACTCAAAAATTTGAAGATGAATCTGTGGTTAGGGATATGGATGATTTGGCCTTGGATAATAGCGCCAGCAGCGTGAGTGAAGATTTCGAAAGCGTTGATTTTGCTAAAGAACTAAATAAAGAAATTGAAAAATAATTGAAGGAGAAAAATACAAATATGGGAAATAGAAATGAAACAGAAGATGTAGCTAACAGAGATGGTGGTTATGGTGAAAATGATAAACATAAGTTAATTCAAATTGCAATGGCATTGTTTGAAAATGGTGGCAACCGCGGGTTCTATTTAGACATGGCGTACAGACATTTACTGACCCCCACGAGTGTAGAGTCTGAAAGAGCATTCTCGTCTGCGGCATATACGTCCAACAAAATAAGATCGTCTCTCAAAGACAATACCTTGAATGCCCTCTGCTACTTACGTTCCATATTTCAGCAATCGCGATCTCGTGAATTGCCGTAGGCTTCGTTTTTGAAGCCATATGTTGTAAGATGACTATATAGTCACCCCACCAATTTAATATCCAGTTATTTGCGTTTAATGTAATATTTACTTATATATTATGTTACCCAATTACTTATTTTAACTTGTGTTGATTTTTTAATTTTATGACAAAGCAGAGTATGTTAAGAAATTGTTTATTTTTGAGTTTCATACTTTTTAAATTCTAATTATTATATAAGATTGCAATAATAAAAGTCGTTGATTTACTTTTTATTAGTGTCTTATTTCTAATTTGGACTCTAACAGCGTTTAATTTAAACAAATTAGATCTCTTTTTTTTAGCCATAATATCGGAAAAAAATCGAAATACCGGAATATCGGTATTAAAAAATTTAATATCGAAACAAAACCGGTATTGGAAAAAAGTTCCTATAGTCCATGCTAGAGTTGCTGCAAATTTGAAACTACCTCGAAACGCAGCTGTGCGGTATCGAGTTGTTACAAGGGAATGAACAGAAGCTCTTGCATTATATTTATTTTGATCTCGGGCCCACTTCAGCTTTTGAAACAGGTATACTGGTTGCTGTTTTGTTATTGTTGAGAATAGTATAGTAGTGTTGCGCGCCTAAGTTGACGTCAGGTACCTGGCACTAGCGCCATCTAGTGCCGGGGACCAGAGCGAGGAGGGCTTCCTAGAAAATGTCAATCTTGAATTTCGACCAACAGCGCCATCTAGTATCGAATAGAAGAATTAAGCTTTCTAGAAGCCCCACACTCGAACTTTCTGCGTCCGGTCGGTCGGCGCCCGTATCTACGGGAATATTCGGGATGTTTCGGTGTAAAAGGTGTATTTAAACCCGCTGCATGACGCGATCCGGGCAGTATTGAATTTGGCTAGACAAGCGAAGCTTCAGAGCGAAATAAAGGGAGTCAGTATGGTTAATTATTAGTGCTTTAATTTTAATTGGTGTTCGGTAATAAAAGTGTAAATTTTGGCAATTCAATCGGCAGTTTTTACTGTCACGAACCTCAAGCTCGTAACAATTGGTGTCATAAATGGGATAAAATCATGCCGATTTTACCTAAGGAAGAAACGGAGGGTGTCCGTACCCGAAGTCAACGCCAGCAGGAGACGGACCAAAGAAGATTTGGTGGTGCAACGCCGCAGACGTCGGAGGGCCAGCCACCGGCTGCATGCCCGTCAGTAGCTCCTACATCTGCAGCACCTGACTTAGGTGCTCTGATGGTGATGCTGCAGGAGCAGGCTCGCCGACAGGAGGAGCAGGTCCGTCGGTTGGAATATCAGCTGCGGGGTGGACAAGAGGAACAGGCCCGTCGGTTGGAAGAGCAGATGCTCCTCATGAAGGATCTTCACGCTACCTTCGGTAAGAAGATAAAGGAGGTGAAGGATAGGGTTGCTCAACATTACAACCACCTGTCGGAAGCTGAAACCCAAATCGCGAAAGCTGAAACCCGAATCGAGAAAGCTGAAACCCGAATCGACCAAGTGAACAATCGGGTTGACAACGTGACGGCTGACGTGAAGAAAACGCTGGACGACCTCAAACTGGGGGATGGAATTACAGCTCCCGTAGTAGCTACAACACCTTCGCTACGTGGTTTAAAGTGCCACCGTTCGACGGGACTTCTTCCTGGTCAGCTTACAAAATCCAGTTTGAAGCCGTTATGAAGGCGAACGGCTGGAATAAAAGTCAGGCCATGGCTGCTTTCACACTAGGCCTGCGCGATCAGGCCTTAACTGTTCTGGAAGCTCTCGGAGAGGAAGTAACTTATGAGCAGCTCCTTGAGGCATTGGAGGCGAGAAATGACGACGTCACCTGGAATACGTCTTTCGTGCGCAGCTTAAAGATCGCGTGCAGCGCATCAATGAAAACCTGCAGTAGGGGGCTCTAGAGGTGGAGAGGCTGGTGAGAAAAGCATAGCGGTCTGTACCTGCGCTTATTGAAGGGAACCTGGTGCAGACATTCATCGACGGCATTCGCGACCTTGAAGTCAGAGCTGCTGTGAGGCTCGGGCACCACGAGACGCTTAAAGACGCCTTGGCCTATGCACTGGAGGTAGAAGCCGTGCGGCAGGATCATCGGTCTCATCGCGTCAGGGAGGTTGCAGCAGCTACAGTTCGCGACCGTAATAAAGGATACAGCCCTAGGTGCTATGGCTGTGGGGAAAGGGGCCATCTTCGATCCAGCTGCTCTAAGCGAACCCTAGAAAGGGAAGATAAACGATCTCAGGAGGGTAGTGCGGCCAACAGCACCGCCCAGCAGCAGCAGGGAAATGAGTAAAAGCCAGAACTGCGGGGCGGATGTAAAAAGAGCCCCCAAGGATCTCGATCTCACAAATCCATGATGGGAACAGTCTAATCATCAAGGGCGAGGTTAACGGATTGCTGTGTAAACTGACCATAGACACTGGAGCCTCTCGTACGGTTGTTAGTTCCCAACTTATAAGTCAGTTCCTTGGGGACTCCGCATACAACCGAGAACGCATTAATTTGGTAACAGCCACCGGTCAGCGTATACCCGTCCGTGGAGAGAAGGAGATGGAGTTGAAGCTAGGCAACGTGATCTAGCTGCATAATGTCATTGTGGCTAATATAATGTACGACTGCATTCTGGGCCTAGACTTTATGAGGAATAATTGTTGTGAGATCGACGTTAAGCAAGGTGTTATGAAATGTGGACAGGATGAACTTTTTATGGAAGGTGCGTCGCCAGGGAACGTGTACAGCATTAAGAAGATTGTTCTTCCGCCGAAATCGGAAACGATTGTGCCGGTTAGTCTTCCTCGAAACGCAGGGCAAGCTCACCGTTGTGTACTTGTGGAAAGGGTAAACAATGACCTTCCATGGAAAGTAGCTCGAACCTTGGTCAGAACCACTGACATCTTTATTCTTTATTCTTTATTGTACACACAATAAGTTGGTAACAATTATTAAATATTTAAATAAATGTACAAAGGCGAGCTTAACCCTAATAAGAGTTCTCTTCCAGCAAACCTATTGGGAAAGAGAAATAGTTTTATATATAAAGCAAGTAGGTAGCAGCGTGCGTACTCAATAATTAACATAAGGCTACTTAATAGAAATTGGCTATAAGTTACAGTTAACAATTAACACATAAGTGTATAACATATAAGTATAATTTATTTTCTTATTCCTCTTATTCTTATTTCTATTTATTTACATACATATATACCAATAAAGATAATAAATATAAACATATATACACATATACACACACATATATATACATACACACATACATATATATACAATTATACATATAAATACATAAAATATGTAAATATTTATAATTCTAAGTTGACAGATAATATTTCTTTACTCTACTCCGAAATATATCAAGAGAAGAGCTAGCACGTATGTCATGTGGAAGTGAGTTCCATAGCTTGACCGCCCTTACAGTAAAGGATCCACCACAACGGCTTGTGAAATGAAAAGGAGTTTTGAGAAGTAGTTGTTTAGTGGTCCGGCACTGAGTTTCACGAGGTACAAGATACTCAAAACGCTCGCGGAGATATGGAGGTGCAAGAGGATTAAAGAGTAGAAAGTATAGAAATGATAACACATGTAAGTCTCGACGTTTACGGATAGGAAGCCATTTTAATTGAGCCCTGTACTCTGAAACATGATCAAACTTACGAAGACCGAAAATAAAACGTATACACAAATTTTGAACTCGTTCCAGTTTGTTCAACAGCTCCTCTGAAGCATCCAAAAAACTAACATCAGCGTAGTCAATGAGAGGAAGAAGAAGTGCTTGAGCCAAGGTTATCTTAGTTTTTAACGGTAAAAACATCTGGAGACGCTTGAGAGATTGAAAAGAGTAGTTCACTTTTCTGCTAATCATATTAATGTGAGCGACTCAAGACAAATTATTATCAAAAATAACACCTAAGTTCTTAGTGGTCTCTGTAAATGGAATTTGAGTATTATCATACGTTACTGCAGGGATCTTCGAACGATCTAATAAATTAAGCATATATGAGCTGCCGATAATCATTACTTGGGATTTAGCAGGGTTAACAAGAAGACCAAACGATTTTGCCCAACTGCTTATGCTACTTAAGTCAGCATTCAGCTTATTAATAGCCTCATCAATATCTTGGACTTTGAAATGATGGTATAATTGCAAGTCATCAGCATAGAGATGATAATGAGAGGAGAGAACAGTAGTGAGAGCATTGATAAAAATAGAGAAGAGAAGTGGGGAAAGAACACCACCCTGAGGAACACCCGCCGTAAGATCACACCACTCGGAGAAATCCTCCTCATGGCGGACACACTGCGAGCGACCCCTAAGGTAAGAATTAAACCAAGAGATTACTGATGGTGAAATGTTTAAGGACGCAAGAATACCAAGAAGTATGTCATAATCAACTGAATTAAATGCACTGCTGAAATCCAATAATGTTAGAACAGTGAGAAGTCTTTTGTCCATGGCCCAGCGAATATCATCAGACACTTTAATCAGAGCGCTGACTGTGCTATGGCCTGGACGAAAACCAGATTGAAAAGGACTCAGCAGGCTGTGAACAGTTAGGAATTGAGATAGTTGCCTCTGAACTATATTTTCTAGTACTTTAGATAAGATCGGAAGAATGGAAATAGGGCGGAATTGGGATAAAGATGTAGGATTAGAAGTTTTTGGAAGGGGAATGACGAATGCATTTTTCCAGCAAGTCGGAAAGGAGCTCGTCTCAAGCGAAGAAGAGATAATGTGAGTGATAATAGGGACAAGTTCATTAGTGATAGGTTTAATCATTTGCATACAAAGATTGTCATAGCCAATAGCTTTAGTGGAAATAGATAAAAGGCATTTTTTTATGTCACCATCAGTAACTTTACTGAAATTAAAAGGAGAACACAGCGGTTTAGGAATATTGAAGAGAAGATTAAGTGTAGTAGACTTAATAGAGTCATCAATAGAAATCGGAGGCTCAGAAAAGTGCCGGTTGAGTGCAGTCAAATCAAACGAGAT